ATATATATATATATATATATATATATATATACTCAGTTATATTATTTATTATATGCAATAAATATATTTTATGTAAATATGCAATGTTATTTAAAATAATAAAAACATTTATAATTCTCCTTTCTAAAAAAAAGGCATATTATCGATACTCGCATCTCTTGAAATTATTGTTGCCGCTTTTCCGCGATGCCGATTGGTTCTCTCGCTGCGCTAACTTCGTGTATAGCTGTCATTGTATTGCTCTCACAGAGGATCGTTTTGACAATTGTGTATCAAGAAATTAAAAATATTATAATAATATTATAATAGTATTATATTAATTTTTGCTTTTTGTGTTGAAAAAAGATAAATATATAATAACCTATGTCTAGTTATTTATTTAAAATTGAAAAATATACAATATAACATTCTTTTCTGCGATTTTCCTATAATTCCTATATTTTCATGCATAAAATATATTCTGAGAAGAAAAATCATCGCTCAAGTCCCGTTTTCCTCTTTTTTAATTTCAAAAGTTTTCGACTATTTGAACTTTAATCCACATAAAAAGAATGAAGAAAATATAAATTTTAAATTACAAACATTTTAAAATATATTTCTTGCTATAATAATCTTGTTATTTAAATTATATAATAAAATTATCATTTTCTAACTTACCAACATCAAAAACTTTGAAAATAATAACATCATGTACGTAAAATGTATATTTTTATCTTAGTGCTTAGTTACATTTTTCTTAAAGTATCTGTAACTGCATCTATATCATTTACAAAAATGCATCTCTCAACACTCACAAAAACATCGTTTATATCGATCGTCGAAAATGTTTATATTCTGCAATATCATCGGATCTAGGGAAAGAGGGGCCGAGGAGCGCTCCCAGGAGGGATTTTCAAGTTTCTCCACGGGAGATGCAACCCTGCGGGAAGCTGCGTGCATGCGCGCGCGCGCGCGCGAGGCACTCGCGAGATGTTTGGAGAGAGATCGCCTTGATGTTCGGAGCACCTGTCAAAAGCAGGCCCGGGACGGACCGCCGCTGATGCTGCTCGCGGGATCGGAATCGGCAGACGTGAAGGAAAAGAGTCTCCCGGTGACGCGCGGCTGATCGAGCCGGTTCCGGGTTGCATCTCGGATCGTCGTTTGGAAATCCGAGCGGGCACATCGGTGGCTGCGTCGCTCGTGGGACGGCCTCCGTACGTACATCGAATTCGTCCGACCGGTAAGCTGATGACCCCGCTCATTTTGCTATCGCTGAGTCACTGAGACTGGTCACGTCATTGACCATCCGCGGTTCCGCGGTTAAAGCCATCGACGCGATTTTCTCTTGCGGAGAGACGGCGGAGTTCGAGGGAGGAGACGATAATCGCTCGGGATGAATAATTGTCGAACGATCGCGTTGATTTGATTTTCACGAACGCGTCCCGAAAATTTTGACGTAAGTAATAATAGAATCGATGTAGCGCTGGTGACTGGATACGCAAGTTAAACGCAAGTTAAACGCAAGACACGCGTGTGTCGGGTACACGCGAGTTATTTTCAACTTTCAAAATCCCTGATGAATTTCGTTTTATTTCACGCGCTGGGAACGTCTTCTATATTCGCAACGAACGAAATTGAAGGGATGAAGACAGTTGTGCGATCAGCTGATCGTCGTTCGTGCGGTTTGCCTTTTAACATAACCTGCAAAAAATTCGCGCGCGTGAGGCACTGTCGCCGATCGCATTATCGCGTAATCGCTGTGTTCAGAAGATAAAGCAGCTTACTAAGCTGCTTCTTTCTCTGAACGACGCCACTCTTTTATGCATTTCCTTAGAACGAAAAGATCCCATGTCCAAAATAAAGTGTTATTATCTTTAATAAGATGTTTTTGTAACTGTAATTTCGAAATTTGTTTTGAATTTGTCATGGCATGTAACACTTGTAGTTGTTTTATTTGAGATCTAACCTGAATTACTATTTTATTTGATAAATATGTAAATATATATGTAATATTAGAATATATATTTACATATTTATTCGCCCTTGAAATTTAGGAAGAAACGTTGAATTTGTTAATTTGAGTTTACAAGCCTCTATTCGCAGAAACTTGATTCGCTTGAAACTTAATGCTTGAAGGACTACCCGCTGTGAAATTAAATAGGAAGGAAATAAACCGACACATTCTCTACATCGAAGAATTTCTCTATATTTTGCAATAAAACGCGATTCTCCGAAATTCTGTAAATTAATACACGTAACACATTGTGTAATACGATAATATTTTACCTGCAATATGTTCGAAATACAAAACGAAACATTAGCTTTAAATTAATTGATTAATTAAACACAAATTTGTCGTAATCTTTTATTTTACGTAGCCTTTAGCAAACGTGTGTCATTTATTAAACGATTATTATTACGATTGTAATTATTCCAATATAGATAATATAATTGTCTCTTCTTGACTTAGAAATTTTAATGCTATATCATGTCAATTTTATCTTTAAGAGTGCACGTGACGATTATTTTTTTTATACCCTCCAGTTTGACGAATTAAATAATCGATAATTGCTTAAGAATTCTCGTTCCTATCTTAAGAATTCTCGTTCCTATCTTTATTGCAACATACTATAAAAACAGATAAGATAATATAATAATAATAATAATACCGATAATTTCCATCTTTCGTTTCTCCATAAAAATATGTCCCTTAAATTTTAAAAAAAAGCAAAAATATGTCCCTTAAATTTTAAATAAAAAAGCAAACAAGAAAATACACTTCACTTTTACTTGTAAAAAAAAAACATCGTAAAAGATTTAATTGTTGCCCTTTTCCGTATGACTGATTGCTTTTTTCTGTGCATTGTAAAGTAACTTAGATATTTTGAGAGTTTATATTTTTATATTATCATAAACAAGATTACAAATTGTGCTAAAATATTTTATTTCTCTAAATACTTTTTTCGAAATATTTTGTGATCAAATTAAATGTTGGGAATGTACGATTATGTAATTTTCTTCATATCATACAATACCTCGTAATACAATATAGACGTGTACATAATTGCAAATTTAGAGAATTGCTATGAATTTTATATTTTAATGAAAAATATATTAGAAGTAAGCCATTCTTCTAGTGCCTAGTACACAAAGGTCTCTATCATTTAAAACATATTTATCTTTAATAAAAAATATTTTACGTCGAAAATTAAATACAGGAATTAGATACACTTTGAGCGCAGCAACAATAATTCTCGCGCTTCATTTTCCTTTTTTTTTTTTCTTATCTTGTCCTTCGCAAAGATTTTCAATTCGCGCGAAATGTAGAGGAATTGTTTCCAAATTAAATTTCCTTCCTCCGTTCAATAGGACGGGATATATCGGGTGCTTGGAATGAATTAAAACTTGCCACTGTATCGACTCGGCAGAGGCGTTATGTAAGAGATCGAGAGAGGAAGATAGGACAAAATCAATTTGCGCGGCTCACAATCGGCAGATTGGCGATTTGTCCGCTCGCGTGTGTGCACAAATACGTCTTCGATGGGCGGATAGCAATCTCCATTCGATTGGCGTCGCATTGATTTCGCTATTGTGCGATGCCAATGCCCGTCCCGTTTCGGAAACGAAACAACAACCGGACTCGTGGTCACGCACGCGATCGAATCAATTGTGACATCGTGGCCTTTAGAGAGAATAGGTCTCCAAGGCGACCCCGACGTATCAAAATACATAATTAAACGGGAAACGGGCCCCGAAAAAAGGCGTGAGTCACTGCTGTCGGACGATCGCAATTAGATCGGTTCGCTTTAACGAAAATGCCTCAACTGCGCGATTATCGTTCGCCAGTGCCTTCCAATATCGAAAATAAACAAGAAATGAAAATAGAAGTTTCCGCGAGGAAATGTAGATAAAAATATAGATCGACCACACCTTGTTCTCGTCATATGCCAAGCAAAAACAATATCCAGTTTTCTTATCGCGAGATAGCACAGAAAGAAGTTCATTTCAGAATTTGCTACTTCTTAAGATGTTGTTTTTTTTTTAAATTCCTTCTTGTGTACTCCATTTAGTGCATACATTAATTATGTTTCATTAATGCCGGTTGTTGAACGTGTCGCGTTAAACTTTGCCCGTAAAATTTGACCGACAGGCATGTCGCGAAATGCATACATAAAGTACTTTATGCAATGAAACGGCCTTCGAGCTTTGGCACAATATTTTGACTACCGGTTAGCACAGTGTCACAGTTAACACTTGTGACGCTTAAGTGCTACATTGCACTGGCACAAGCCACCCTCAATTTTGCAATCGAATTTACCTTCTCGACACTCCGAGGCATTCCTCTGAGGCATACGAGTTTGAAGAACTTTGCAAACGTTTATGTATTACGCCACAACATACTTAATATACAATTGTTATCTTACGGCAGATAGAATACATTAAACTTTTTTTTTATCGATAATTTACGAAATGATATCATTTTTTATTAATTTCTTTGATAGGTACGAGATCTTAAATTGTATTAGCCATGGCACAGGACACTCCAACTCCAAAATCTGTGGAACAGTTCAAGTACGTCTTCCTTCTTTCTAGTCTTACTCATGAAATAATATGTTATAAAACAATGAATCTAAAATCATTTGAGACCGAAATATTCTGATTAAAAAATTTGACAATTATGTAAAAAATTGTAAAAATAAAACTATTAAAAAATAAGATAATA